ACCTAATAGCAACCAAACATAACACGTGCGCTTTGTGCTAGTGTATAAATTGCTGTGTATCCTTTAATAAAGTGGCATTAACTTGATCACAATGATCGTGCATGTTGTGTCTGAGACTTCCGCGTCACCACGCTGCACTAAGCAATCCCTGTCTGTCTTCTTCCTTTCCCTGGGAACACACAAACACTAATCAGAGCCAGAACAGCGCTTTTAGGCTCACAGCGAGAACTTCTCACAGAAAGCGCTAGCACGTACGATCGTCGCTGTACAGCAGTCTCCCCTCCAAACTACCACTGGTACGCTAAGCAATCCAGCTCTCTCTGCTTCCTTTGCCTAGGAACACACAAACACTACGCAGAGGCTGTACAAGCTCTTTTAGGTTCCTGGCGAACTTAAACTGCTTTGTGCTTATATTGTCTGTAAATGTGACTCGAGTGATGCCCAGCAACTTGGTGAATCGTATTGTTTATCATTTACCTATTTTAGGAGGGTGGGGTATTAATCCCATATGACTTTCTGCTTTTTTACATTGGTTTATACTTGGCTTTCACTAGTGTGACATTCATCTGTAACCCTGTGGTCAGTCTGCTGTGAAAATAATCCTAACGTATTGTATATTCTGTATCCTGTAGGCAAAGAGGAAGCAATTGTTTGAAGCATGGTGACAACTGTCCGATTCTCAACAGCAGGTATGTCAGTGGGTTTTGGTGAGGCTCTGATCTAATTGGAAAATTACAAACTGGAGTCAAAATTAATAAATTCATAGGAAATCTTGAACTCGGTTGCTCAAAATATAATACTGAGGACAATACTCTGAGATCTTATTTGTACGCCTTGAAAAAGATCGTCATTACTTTTATTCCAGTAGTGACCATTTCTTTCACAGTGTTGATGAAATGTGAGTCAGTGGGATGGGATGGAAGTTCTGTATGCCTGGAAATGGATGCTGAGCGGCATCTAGGGAGGAAGGTGGAATAATCTGCAACAGTTTGGGTTTTTTCTAATAATACTCATTTTTAAATGCCAGCATAGTAATTTGCTGCTCATGGAAAGACTTTGGACAGGTAAAAGCAACAGAAATCTACAGGTAATGTGCACGCAGTAATTTATTAATTTTGGTTGTCTTGAGGATACTTTTTTGCCAGCTTTCTCAGTGTATTGAAATACGAACCTGCAGATGGGGGTATTGAAAATTGGAGGGGTGCTATACCGAAATCTAATCTAAACCTCCCAATTTTCAAGTATTCTGTACCTTACCGTCCTTCCTCCTGAATGCCCTTCTTCCAGATTATTTTGAATGCGTTCTTAGAACTATGCACTATGTTCATGTTTTTTTTCTGTAGAAAAAGAATTTGAAATAGTTCTGCAGAAATATCAGTTCCTGTTTCTTACATAAGCCATCTCTCTCAGACTAGTACTCCCATAAAAGCCTTAGCTGTTAGTAGTCGTACTGAATAAACTTCCTCTTCAGGGATGTCAATCTGTTGACATAACCACAGTTCAATACTAAGGTTTTGTATTTTTATGTTGGATGTTTTTTGAATTTTCTGAAGGTGAAAGTGGATGCCTGGGATGTGCACTACACAGGTCGTGTAGTAAGTCACCTCTGTATCAAAGAGGAGGATGTGACATGGCAGTTATCCTGACAAAGCCCCTTCTGTAACTGTTGATACCTTATTTTCTCCCAGCCATACGTGCAGCTTGCTGAAGATGATAAGGTTCGGTACGAGAATGAAATGCAGTTGTGGGAAGCAAAAATGGTCAAACTTGGATGTGAAGACCTGATACGTTCCAGAAAGCAAAGCCAGAAAAGAAAACTGCTGAAACCTGTAAACAAAGCTGAAACAGCCAAAGCTTCTTCATATGAAAACGAGGCAAAGTTAAAGTTGAAAAAATCGGAAGAATGAAATGGTTAAGTATTTTATATTTGATGCCCTTTGGTTGTCATGTCTTTGTCCTGCTGTGTTAATGCTGCAGTCTGCATTAGCACCAAAATTTGGAGAACCCATAAAGGGCCCACTGGAGAAGTAGAAAAGATGATCAAGGTAAGAGAGGATGCGGTATCTCTCAGAACTGACTGAAATAATCATTGCAGTTGTAGCCTCAACTGTACAACAGTAACTGGTTAATCAAGCTGTGAATAGTGATACTCACTGACATCAGCAGAGCTCTCCAGTAATGGTAGATAACGGCTAGCTTTTATAAGATATTTTTAATGAAAGCAAGAATATTCTGCAATGTTACCAGTCTAAATGCTGTAAATAAGAGCTGAAATCTGAGTTAATGCTGCTGTGTTTTATTCCCTCTATGGTATTGGCAGTGAAATGTTCTACATTTCAACAAAAGGCACAGGAAAGGTAAAATACTAACTTTTATTTCATGCATCTTTTTGTACGAATCAATCAGTGTATACCACTTATGTTGCATTTCACTTAAAGACCACATGAGTTTTGTGTAAACGTATCTTTACAGGACTTTTATTCCATGGCTTTGTTTGGATACATGCAAACACTTTTGCCTTCCTGTTGTCACATTTGGGACAGCCTGGAAGGAAGAGACTATGTGTGAACTGTTAGAACTTTGAGTTTGGATGTAATAAATGTAGGTATTTTGAAGAGGTGCTTGTTTTTTTCTACCGGGGTCTGTCTGACTTAGTGAAAGCCTCATAGGTATATTGGAGAGTCTATTTTTAGAAGGAAGGCAAGCTTTTTCAGCAGGCAGTGGATTTCATCCATCCCGAATGACTCACAAAAGCCAGCAAAGCTTCGTTTTACCAGTGGGAAGTGGAAAGCCAAAGAGGAGTTGCTCGCCCGTTTGTTTTATCTGTTTGTTTTCCGCTGGTTTTAAAATGTACTGCTGCTAACTGTGTCTGAGCGCACCTGGCTTTCCTCCTTCGCAGGAGAACACAGAGCTGCGTCCCGAGGGCGGAGGCTCTCGCTCCTCAGCAGGTTCCCGGCCCGTCCCTGAGGGGCAGCCGTCCGCACCCAAACCATCCTCGGAACGGCGGGGGAGCAGCGGGGAAAGCCGGGCCGGCTGCAGCCTGGCCGCCGGCGTCTGCGCAGCTCCTGCCTGCTCCAATTAATTGTGTGGGAAGCCTTCCCCCTCCCCTGCCGCCCCCTGCGCCCGCCCGCTGGAGCGGCTGGAGCCGCGGAGGGGAGCGGAGCGGAGCGGAGCGGGGCCGAGCGGCGCGGTGCGGCTGAGGGGGGGGAATCCCGCCCGCCTCCCTGAGGGCGCTGCTGCCGCCGTGCCACGCATGTGCTGGCCTCAGGCTGGCGAGGGGAGGCCGGGCAGGCTGGGGCTGCTGGAGCCGTGCGGGGCCGCCTTCGGTTCTGCCGAGCGCTGCTGCGTCCTGGGTACCCGCCGGCGGGCCTCGCCGCAGGAGATCCAGCTGCGGCTGCCCCCGTGCCTCGCTCCGTGTCCACCCCGGCCGCGCCGAGCCCCACGCCAAGGAGGAGGCGACGCGGCGGTTCCAGGTGAGGGAGGCTGCCGGCCGCCCCGCTGCTGCTGGCCTGACCGGCCGGCCCCTCCGTGCCCGCAGATCCTGGGCAAGGCCTACGCCGCCCTCAGCGAGGCGGAGCAGCGCGCCCTGTACGGTGAGCAGGGCACGGTGGAGGAGGAGGGCGAGGTGCTGAGGGGCGAGCGGGACTGGCAAGAGTACTGGCGGCTGGTCTTCAAGAAGGTAAGAGCTGGGCCGGGGCCCCGCAGGGCTCGCCTGGGCGGGGGCAGGCCCTGCAGGAAGCGGGGAGCTCCCTGCTTCGGGCTTGTGGCCGTGTCTCCCTGGCGAGCTTCAGGTAAAGCACGTGGCTTCTCTTGTTTTGCTATGTTTTGTTTTGTTTTGTTTGTTTGTTTGTTTTTTTTTTTTTTAACGCTGTCTCTGAAATCCATCTGGTGAATTAATCATGTAACTCCAGAAGTGTCACTTCTTTGCTTCAGATCACAGTGAAAGATATTGAAGACTTCGAAAAGAGCTAGAAAGATTTGGACAAAGAGCTAGCTGTTATTAAAGCAGCGTACGTGGATTTTGAGGGTGACCTGGACAGAATAATGGAGTCTGTGTTGTGCGTGGACTATACAGATGGACCAAGAACATGGAAAATTGTAGAAAAAGCCATTGCCTCTGGAGAAGTCCCATTCTACAAAGGTTTTGTAAGAGAGTCTAAGCAGAAAATGATTGCGAGAAAAAAGGCGGGTAGGTTATATCAATCCGGGACCAAAGGGAAGCATTTTTTTTATGCTAAGTTTTAATCTTCCTTGTTAGAAATAAAATGGAACTGTTCTTGAGGCAAATGTTTGCTACAGGATTTCTGGGTTACAGATCTTGCTCTGTGTCTTTGACTTTCACATTTGGACACCTGTGTTCTCACCCCTCCCCCCCCCCCCCCCCCCCCCCCCCCAAATTGTTGTGAAAGGCTTTTGAGCTGTGATAGGTTGCTGCTAATCTTTATTCCTTTGTTTTATTATTAATTCTTTATTTTATTATTATACACAATGGCTTATTACAGTTTAGCATGTCCCTGCATTTATTTACACAGCTATGAGTTGCTGGAGTTCAGTGTACGTGGTAGAAATATGTTATGCTTGCCTTCTGGTGAGTGTGAAATAACATTCTGGCCTAAATGGACCTCTTCTTCAATGTGGGGTTTTTTGAACACTTTGTAGATCTTACATGCACATCGCAGTAACCGTTCTCTAAGTTAAAGAAAATGTAATAGCTGCCAAGACAAAAAAAGTGTGGGTGGGGGGAACAGGGATAGGCATAGACATCACATTCAGCATTGTGAAACAACAAAAAACTGTCCCGCTCTACTAAAGCCAGAATGGTCTTTCTTTCACCAGTTTGTCATCTGTGGCCAAATTTGGAAATGATTTGTGTTTCCTTGCAGCTAGTTGTATACAGATTAAAAAAAAAAAAAAAAAAAAAAAAAAAAGTTTCATAACTATTATAAGACTTTGTCAAATAACTTGCAAAATACTTGTTAAAAACTAGTTTGCTATTTTAGGCAGAAAAAGAAGCTAGAGAGGCAGAAGAGACTAAAGCTGAACTGGGACTTGGTGGAGAAGATGATTTGAAAGCGCTGATTCAAGTAAGGCTTTTTCTATCTGCTGAAGAGAAGTATGTTACTGGCCTATAATTCTGTTCTCCCTGAGCCTCTTTGTAGTTTGGATCCTTGCAACTTGAGAGTTCTGAGGTTAAAACCTGACCTTAATGTTAGCTACCTATGTACTTTACTTAATAGTCAGTGTGGTATGGATTTTACTGCCTGCGTCTTTTGAAAATTAACAAAGTTATTCAAATATCCTTATGGCATGCACAATCAAAATATTTAACTTCTAGTTTTAGGTAGGTAGACAGGGAGTATTAATGATTCTTTCCCTGAGGGATTCCATCAGGATGCAGAAGCTGATAGGTCTTACTGTTTTGTATCTTGAGGGCCGAGGAAAGAAACATAGTTTACATTCTGCTTTTTGGAATGTTTTCTGTTTCTCATCATCCAGTGGGCTTCCTAGAACCTTAATGCTTAATCATTCCTCAAACTGTAGTAGAGTTTTGGGTCTAAACTTGGAAATTGTTTTGCTTTTCCTAGGCTTATGTTGGGAATTTTTATAGCCACTTTACTTCCATCTCGATACTTCAGGAGAAATTAGGTATAGAGCCTAGAGTACACAAGTAGAATTTTGCTTGATAGTACTATACTTTGTATTGTATTATATTTGTATAGTATTATACTGCTTGCATTCCCTGTTTAATATATTCCAATATTTTATGTAGCTGTCATACTATCAACTTCAATAGAATAATCTGTACTAGGAAGTAGTAAAAGTTTTGGGTCGGTTTTCTTTTTTAATTTCCTTTCCCCCAGAGCAGAAGTAAAGATCGAAAAAGGGAAATGGATGACTTTTTGGCCCAACTGGAATCAAAATACAGGAAAAATGCTAAAAAAGGAGAAAAGACGACTGCAGCCAAGAAAGGAAAGAAATAAAGAACTGTGTAGGCTGAGATAGCAGGTATCATTTTGTACGGGATCACGTGGATTTGGGAGAATTTCAGAGTTTTTCTGGGCTACTGTTTCAGAGTGTGTGCATCAGTTTGCTGTGACTGGGAGGTAGGATACAGAATGCATCATGAACAAGACAAAGCATTCTGGTGCTACTCTTTAAAAATCCTTTGGGTGTTCTTCGGTTAAGATCAAACAGATTCCTGAGTAAAAGTTGTTACAGTAAGGAAGCAGTGTGAGGTTTGGGACCATGGTGCGTTTATTAAACTTCTTTGGAAGCACCTTCCTTCCAAACACCTAATAGATATTGGTACAGTTGATGGTAAAACGGTGTAACCCCTCACCTTTGAGAGTCTTCAGTGGCGATTCCTGCGGTTTCTGAGTTGGAAACCTTATCTTTTTGCTAGTCACATGTTTCTTATGTAACAAACCTTCTGCTGTTTGTTAAAAGTCCTTGAACTTCATCTCAACAGGTATTTTCAGTGGTTTTCTAAAGATACTTTGGAATATTGCAGATTTAATAGAGGAAAAGTTTTCATAGAATTCTGTGCTAAGTTGCTTCCCCAGCCCTCTCTAGGTTTTCTATGTAGCTGTTCAAAACAGTGTCGACTCTTCTGACTGATTGAAGTCAAGTAAATACTACACACTTGTATAACAGCTGTAACTATGGCTGCATTGTTAACTGCGATGTCAGTGCTGGTGATGCCATGTTCCATGAAAGGGCCAGCTCGTGTTTGGCCTTGGATTGCCTGTGGCAGATGCCTTAGGAAGAAGACTGCAGCATGTATGTCACTGTGCAGGAATCCTCTGACACACTGAGGTGAGGCAATAGCTGAAAAATCCACAGGAGAGAGTCAGTTCAGTGCATTTCTAGGGTTTGTGATGTCCCGTGACAAGGAGTTCCAAAGCTCAGAAATGCATTGCTTGTTATTTCAATAGCATCACAGTCAAGTCTGCTGTAGGGTGGTAGCGATTATCTACTTCACTATATTTGTCAACCCTTCTGTTATTTCAGAAGTGAATTCCTTAAGTAGGATCTGCAAATACTTGAAAGGTTTATGCTTCAGCTGTTTTTAAACCACCTGACAATGTGTGGGAGTATGAAATTGAAGGGTAATTAACTAGTTTTCAACTCTGTCACAAAGGGATGAGGCAGGCTTTATTTTGTGGATCATTTTTCAGAGGCTTATGAGCGACAAGGGGAACACTTCCTTTTGAGCTGAAAGTCCTCACTGCTTCAGTGATAGCATTCAGGAGCTGGCTATTTAATAGAGCTTCCCAGGGGGAAGCTAGAGGTAGATAGTAACTATTCCCTTACGTGGATTTTTTCAAAAATTATCCTGATTCTGAGAGTACAGCATATCTCTGTGTGGCACAACACATGGACAGTAACCCTAACACCTAACCCTAACCCTAACTCTAAACCTAAACCTAACCCTAACCCAAACCTAACTCTAAACCTAAACCTAACCCTAATCCTAAGCCTCACCCTAACCTAAACCTAAACCTAAAACTAAACCTAAGAGTAACCCTAACAGAAACCCTAAAATTAAGCCTAGCCCTAACCCTAACACTAACCCTAACACAAAACCTAACCCTAAACATAACCCTAACCCTCAACCCTAAACCTTACCTTAACCCTAACCCTAACCCTAACCCTAACCTAACCCTAACCCTAAACCTAGCCCTAAACCTAAACATAAACCTAACCCTAACACAAACCCTAAACCTAACCCTAAACCTAACCCTAACCCGAACCCTAACCCTAACCCTAAGCTAAGGCTAACACTAAACCCAAGCCAAACACTAAATTTAACCGTAAACCTAACCATAAACCTAACCCTAACCCTAACCCTTAAAGCTAACCCTAACCCTAACAGTAAAGCTAACCTTAACCCAACTCTAACTCTAAACCTAAACCTAAAACTACCCCTAAACCTAACTATAACCCTAACCCTAACATAAACCTAAACCTAAACCTAACCCTAAGAGTAACAATAACCAAAAACTAAAATTCACCCTAACCATAACCCTAACACTAACCATAACAAAAAACCTAACCCTAATCCTAACCCTAACCCTAACCCTAAAGCTAACCCTAAACCTAACCCTAAAGCTAACCCTAACCCTAACCGTAACCCTAACCATAACCCTAAACTTCACCCTAAACCTAACCCTAACCCTAACAGTAACACTAACCCTAACCCTAACCCTAACAGTGACACTAACCCTAACCCTAACCCTAGCATAAACCTAACCCTAACCCTAAACCTAAACCTAACCTAACCCTAACGCTAACCCTAAACCTAAACCTTACCCTAACCCTAACCCTAAAGCTAACCCGAACCCAACCGTAACCCTAACCCTAACCACAACACTAACCCTATAACTAACCCTAAACCCTAATCCTAATCCTAAAATTAACCCTAACCCTAACCCTAATCACAACACTAACCCAAACTTAACACTAACCCTACAACTAAACCTAACCCTAATACTAACCTAACCTTAACCCTAAACCTAACCCTAAGAGTAACCCTAATCCAAACCCTAAACCTAATCCTAACCCTAACCCTAACCTAACCGTAACCCTAACCCTAACACTAAACCTAACCCTAGCACTAACCCTAACGTTAACCCTAACAATAACCCTAACCTAACCCTAAACCTAAACCTAACCCTAACCCTAACACTAACCCTAACCTAACCCTAACCCTAAACCTAACCCTAACAGTAACCATAACCCAAAACCTAAACTTAAGCCTAACCCTAACCCTAACACCAACCCTAACACAAACACTAACCCTAACACTAAACCGAACCCTAACCCAAACCCAAACCTAACCCTAACCCTAACCTAACCCTAACCTAAAAACCCTAACCCTAAACCTAACGTTAACCATAAACCTAACCCTAAATCTAACCCTAAACTTAACCCTAACCCTAACCCAAACCCTAAACCCAACCCTAACCCTAAACCTAACACTGACATTAACCTAACCCTAACACTAAACCTAACCCTAACCCTTACTCTAACTCTAAAACTAGCCCTAACCCTAACTTTAACCCTAACCCTAACCCTAACCCTAACCCTAACCCTAACCCTAACCCTAACCCTAACCCTAACCCTAACCCTAACCCTAACCCTAAACCTTACCGTAACCCTAAACCTAACAGTAACACTAACCCTAACCCTAATCCTTAGACCTAAACCTAAATCTAACCCTAAACCTAACCCTAACCTAAACCTAACCCTAAACCTTACCCTAACCCTAACCCTAACCCTAATCCTGAACCTAACCCTAACCCCTAACCCTAACCCTAACACTAACCCCAACCCTAAACCTAACCCTAACCCAACCCTTACACTAACCCTACAACTAAACCTATACCCTAAACCTAACACTAGCACTAACCCTAACACTAACCCTAAAACCTAAACCTAACGCTAACCCTAAACCCAACCCTAAACCTAACCCTAACCTTAACCGTAACCCTAAACCTAAACCTAACGTCTAAACCTAAACCTAAACCTAACCCTTACCCTAACCTAACCCTAAACCTAAACCTAACCCTAACCCTAACCCTAACATTAACCCTAAACCTAACCCTAACTCTAAACCCTAACTCTAACCCTAACCCTAACGCAACCCTATTCATAAGCCTAACCCTAACCCTAACCCTAACCCAAACTCTAAACGTAACGTTAACCCTAACTCTAACCCTAAGCCTAAACCTAACCTAACGCTAAAACTAACTCAAACCCTAACCCTATCCCTAACCCTAAACCATGACCCTAATCGTAAAACTAAACATAACCTTAACCCTAATACTAACCTTAATGGCTAACCCTAACCAAAACCCTAACCCTAACCCTAACACTAACAAATAAAACTAACCCTAACCCTAAACCTAACCCTAACCCAAACCCTAACTCTAACCCTAACCTAAATGCTAAACCTAACCCTAATCCTAACCCTAACACAAACCGAAAACCTAACCCTAACCCCTAAACCTAACCCTAACCCTAAGCCAACCCTAACAATAACCCTAACCCTAAACCTAAACTAACCCTATCCCAAAACCTAACCTTAACATTAACCCTAACCCAAACCCTAAAATTAACACTAACACTTACACTAACCCTAACACAAACCCTAACCCTAACACAAATCCTAACCCTAACATTAAAACTAACCCTAACATAAACCCTAACCCTACACCGTATGCCTAACCCTAACCGAATACTAACCTTAACGCTAAACCTAATCTTAACCCTAACCCTAACCCTAACCCTAACCCTAATCCTAACCTTATCCCTAAATCTAAACCTAACTCTAAACTTAACACTAACCCTAGCCCTAACCCTAACCCTAACTCTAACTCTAAACCTAACCCTAAACCAACCCTAACTATAAACCTAAACCTAACCTTAACCCTAAGCCTCACCCTAACCTAAACCTAACACTAAAACTAACCCTAAGAGTAACCCTAAAACAAACCCTAAAATTAAGCCTAGCCCTAACCTAACACTAACCCTAACACAAACCCTAAACCTAAACCTAACTATAACCCTAAACCTAAACCTTACCTTAACCCTAACCCTAACCCTAATCCTTACCGCTAACCCTAAGCCAAATCCTAACTCTAACCCTAACCCTAACCCTTACCGCTAACTCTAAACCTAATCCTAACCCTAACCCAACCCTAACCCTAACCCTAACCTAACCCTAACACTAACCCTAACCCTAACCCTAACGCAACCCTAAACCTAACCCTAACCCTAACCCTAATCCTAACCCTAACCCAAAGTCTAACCCTAACCCTAACCCTTACCCTAACCCTAACCCTAAACCTAAACCTAAGCCTAACCCTAGCCCTAACCCAACGCTAACACTAACCCTACCACTAACACTAACCCTAAACCTAACCCTAACACTACCACTAACTTAACCGAACCCTAAACCTAACCCTAACACTAAACCTAACCCTATCCCTATCCCTAACCTTAACCCTAACCTAACCCTAACCCTAAACCTAACCCTAAAAGTAACCCTAAACCAAACCCTAAAATTAAGCCTAACTCTAACCCTAACCCTAACCCAAACCCTAACACTAACCCTAACCCTAACACTAACCCCAACACTAACCCTAACCCTAACCCTAACACTAACCCTAACCTTAACCTAACCCTAACCTTAAACCTAACCCTAACAGTAACCCTAATCCAAAACCTAAAATTAACCCTAATCCTAACGTAAACCCTAACCCTAACCCTAAAACCTCAGCCTAACCCTAAACCTAACCCTAACACTAAGTCTAACCCTAACCCTAACACTAACCCTAAGCCATCCCTCACCCTAACCCTAACCTTAAC